AGGGAGGAACTGAAAGTTTCAATATATTTGATTGTGAATTTCATCTTCTTTTGATTTTCTTTGATATTTCTTTGATTCTTTTCTTTTATTTTTCTTTATTCTGTTCATATTTTCTTTTATTTCATAGGAACACCCTGTTCATTGTGAGTTTAAATTAGTACAATTCTCATTTTGCTTTTCCAAGGCAGTAACAACAGTATTATATCATGATTTCCAGATTGAGTTATATAATTGGGTTAGGAATTCTGTTAATATCTTGATCTAGTTGATGATATCTGTTGTAAAGAAGATTTTATCAATTATGGCACATAACAGTTCTACAATTTGCCATATGTGAGAAATTGGTTTGAGATTATTGTCTAAATGGAAAATTTAGTTAATATTGTTTATAATCAGGTTGGCCTTTTCTGAGGCTTCAGAACATTTAAAGACATGTTGAATATCTTCAGTACAAAGTTCGTATCTTGGACAATACTTATTTGGATATTGATCAGGGTGATGTTGATGAAGTATTTGACAAGTTGGAAGTGTTTTTGAGAAAAGTTATATTCTGAACACTATTAAGTTGCTATAGCTGTTGTTGTGTGTCTTTTTGATATTTTTATTGGACTGATTGATGATTTTTAAATCATATGGGTGTGATGCTATTCAAAGATTTGGAGAACTGAGGAGCTTTCACAGATTATATAATTTCTAGTGATACTAAAATTTTTCTACATTATCTGATACTGCTGCCTAGGCATATGTTGTTGATTAAAAAATTTTCTAAGAAGTATAATAAATAGTTGCTCTATTGAATTGTCTTGTTTGTAAACAGTTTGGACTTTGGTTTGATATATATGACTTCTATTGATTTCTGTTTTATGATTTGATTTATTTTCTGGATTAAAGAAGAAAAGTTAATTTTAACCATTCTTCTCAGATAAGTTAATACTGATTGAAGGATTTTTTTGTTATTTCTAATTTCAATGGTGTTGCACTGAGAGCTTTATTGAATAATGTCAAGTATTGCTAGTAGGATATTGTCAGAAGCTAGACAGGTATTAGCAAGTTTTATCTTGCATTTGTTAATAACTATGGTTTTATTGATAATGTTCAATAGTCAATATTTGGTAGTATTGCATGGATTGAGGAATATCTATAAGGTTGATGTTGTTAAACTTGTGAAGAAGTATAATATTTTATGTTATTATATATAACATTTTATATTAAAGAAGTTATAAACAAGATATTATTTATAATTAATAAAGAATAACTTTATTAAATGTAAGAGAGGCCAGACAACTCTATTATTTTTCAAAGAAAAAAGATATTTCTTATATACAGTATATAATTTTTTAATATAAATAAATAAAATAAAAATATAAGTCTAAAATAGTATATATAATCTTATTGATTCTTCAAAGATTATATGCATGTAATATAAAATGAAACAATAAAATAATAAACTAGTGCTTTATTCTAATTATTTTAATATTTTTAAAATTTTATATTATTAATTAAAGAAATTAAAAGTAAAACAAAATAGAACCATTAATATTTATAAACTTATACTATTATAATATTAAATATTTTTTGGGATTAGACATCACATGTCATCTGCCATATACTAAATATTATCTATATATGTCACATGTTTTAGATATAATAAAAAATTATTAACTTAAGATATTTTAAGTTCCAGATATTTTAAAGAGATATAGTAAAAACCATTGTATTTCTAAAGTAATGCTTTTTCTATTGACTTGTTTATACAACTTGTTTAACATATCTCATATCACTTACTTTACCAATAATATTGTTATAAGAAATTCCAAACTGTAAGAATATGATTTGAAATTTAGATGATAAAGTGAAGAGATACTTGGATTAACCTTTTTAATTAAAACTTCTTTAGGCAAAACTGAACCATATAGGTTAGATAGTTTAAATTAGTGATAGAGTCTCTACATTCTATAGGTCTTCTCTAGCTGTTATATAGAAAATTACTCAAGATGATAGGTTCCTGAGTATTGTATATAAGATAGGGTATGGGGATGATTTGTATAGAGTATATAATGTACTAATTTGTATAAGTCCTTGAGCCACAGTGTGACAAAAATATTTTAAAAAGCTTAAAGTATTAAATTAGTCTTTGTATAAAATGGATGAAATATTTATAATGTAATAAATATTTTTATTACATAATAAAAAAAATAACATTTGCATTATTAGAATTTTTTATTTTTAATTATGCTTCCACGTTAAAACAAATGTAAAATTTTCAAATTTTTTCACTGAATTTTTTTATTTTATATAAAATATAAAATTTAAAAATAAAAATAGAAAATTTGAAAAAAATTTTTAGGGAACATTTAAGATTCACACTGTATACAATATGTGCCTTATAGAAAGATTAAAGTGGTCAATATTTCTCAAAGCTATTGAATTAACGTACACTTTAGGCTTAAATGGTTAATATCATTTTTAGTGAAAATTTTATTTTGCTTTGTAGAAAAATTGTATGTATTTTAGTTTTAAAAATGTTTTTTTTGTATAATAATATTTGCCCCAGGTCTCGATTCTATGTTTTGTGTTATGAAAATTTTAAACAATTGGTTTTTATTCCATGTAAATTTTGTTTTGGTAGGAAATAATTTAATCAAAAAAATTTTTTTTTACTTGGTCCAATATAAAATACAGGAACTCTTATAAATTAAAAAAAATATAATTTCAAGCAATTTCAAGCCATAATGCATTACTCCTTCTTATACTATGCCTCACAAAATAATTTGTATTATTCGATCAATTCAATACACCACTAAAAATTTATTTTTATAAAATGGTAAGTATGTAACATTTCTTATAACTCATGAGTGAAATATTTAAAAATTTTTGTACCATATTATTATCTTCACGTCCGTCTTCATTACAAGAAACCTCTTGAGTTCCATCATCCATTAGGACATCATGGCTGTAGAGTGGTATATTAGTATTTTTATGGAAGAGTCTAATAATATCTCCGCTCATTAAATGATCTGGATCGACTTTAGAAATAGGATGGCGAATAATCCAATAATCGTCGGAATTTCCATCCATATAAATAGTTACTAAAGTATTCAAGGTGCAGTTGTAATTATGCGAACAGTTAAATAAAATAGGCATTGTTTTATACCGGTGTGTTTTTGTTTAAAAAATACCTTGCTGATGATTTGATTTTGGGGTTCCCCCACGTAAAAAAATATTATCATGGGAATGCAAATTTCCGCCGGTTTTTATATGCTTAAATGCGATAATGTTACGAATGGATAAAGGATCGCCAACGTTTATATCACAAATCGTCCAAAGGTCATGTTCGTAATCTATTTCTTGACCATTACATACGGCCTTTGTAAATCAAATTAATATTAATTGGTGTGAGTGATAAAGGAAACAAGATTCAATAACATTATACCATGTATTGATTATGTGGATATTTGATCCCTTCATTATATGGATATCTGACCCCTTTATTAGATAAATATTTTCTAGTAGGCACGTGAAATAACGCGACAGTTGATCCATATTTAATCGGTTTCCTAATTAATTC